CTCGTTTCTGAAGAGCTCCCGTCGTCGTCAAGCCACCTGTTTAATCGATCTCTTCCTCATGCATTACCAGACCCTGGCCCATTTATGATGCCTGTGGCCGAACTCACCATTAAACTCAGCAACTGCGCATTTAATTCAATAATCAAATAAGAAATCAAACTGAACTGAATCAATATATGTGTGTGTTGTAATATTTTTTGGGTGTGTCAAAGAAAGGATCCTACATTAATTGGGAATATGGGAAGATAAAAACAAATTGAGTATTAATTGTGAACAAATTTTCTTATTATTATTAAGAATGGTTCAGAACACACAGCTCTAGAGTTTTCGAGCTCCTCTCTTCTCCTTCTTGTGTGTTCTCTTACCAGCTGAATTTACTACTATCTTCTGCTGTTCTGCTCACCCTGTTATACAGGAAGGATCCGTTTAATCTTGGGGAGTGCCGCATCCTTATCTACGGTGGTTGCGGAATAGCTCTTAAGGACAGCGTCCTTGGGACGTGACTCGAATTAAATATTTATTTTGCAGGTGCTGCCGCCAAGAATGTGTGTGTGTGCTCATTTCAGGACAATACGAGAAACGCGAGACTGAAAAGAAAGAAATTGCTGAATAAAGGCCTAACCGTGGACGTACATGCTGGGGCAGACAGAGCGTGGGGATCCTCGTTAAGGCATCTGTGGAGCGAATGAAGAATGTGGTTTGAGATGATCAGAAAATAGAGATTATTGCTTGGTTCATAGGGGAATGGAAATGATGGACACTTGAACTATGATATGACCCCTCAAGAGAGACCGTGAAAAGCACGCCAGAATAAGACGCGCACATGACGGTGTACCCCCATATAATCTCTTCCCCTAACTACATTTTCCAGCCTTTATATCTCCATAGTCCCCCCTTCAAATCCAACCCGCAATATATAACAAGACTCATACACCTGTCTAGTAGCTACATGAATAGACGAATGGTCGCTTTCAAGTTCGCTTGTGAATGGTATCACTTCCTGTGTACTTATACCCATATAATTTGTATAGTTTATGCCCACATCTATATCATGCATAAATTGTGCAGCAGGAAGCTAATGTGGTGGATTTCTCCTGCAAATAATACTGTGATTTAAGATATTTGCTTTGCATTAGGCTGCGTTTTTTATTTGTTAAATGTCACAGCTTTATTCCGGTTCTAACGTCTCAAGCTCAGTGTCGCAGGTCATTCCCACAACCAGATGTCACCGCTTAAATACACTGTCGAAAGGACTACGCTGTTTCGATTCTAATCCATGGAACACAGCACACATCATCATTAATTAACCGAATAAATAGAGTACCATGTGCAAGTTACTACCGTCATTTCCTTTCCTTCTTAAGAAATAACAATATAGAGTAAGCCTAATTGGATGGCTTAACCCTGTGGTTTTGAGCTCAGTGGATGATGCTGTATACATACAAATTCATTATCAGCATAATTGTCAGATCTAGGGTGAGGATAAAGACATCCCTTTTACTGATTACTGGATAAGAAGTCTCGGACTAGGCAAATGTGTGGGGAAAAAATCTTTAATTTTATGATCCGCTTTATAGAATAGTTTGTCAAGTGAAAGCAGTTAAACTGTATGCGAACATGACTCACAACTATATGCCAGGAATAGGAGCGCTGTCTATAGACATGTACTACGTTAGGAGGGTTTTTTCGGGTGATGTTTTGGAAATTATGTTAATAATTTACCAAAGCTCAAAAACAGAGCAGATTCATAAAGTGCAATGCTTGATTCTTACTCCGAATTCGAAGTCAAAATGTTTGGCTGGCCTGAGACCCGAACTTAACTAACCATCTAGCTCCTAATTTCTGATGGGAAGGAAGCGCCGAAAGACCCCACTAGGTCAAAAGGTAAGGTTTTAGTTGTAAGGTACAACTGGTTGACATTCAATATTTTTGCTTTTTGGTGTGCGTATCATTTCAAAAAGGCATAACCTTTTCTTGCATCCTACATAAAGTTGCTCTATGATTAATCAGTCTCGACACTGTTTGGTTTCGTCTTGCTCTGGTTCACGAAGTGACGATCGAGGTGAGCACATACCAGCTGATTTCATCGAGGAAGTGTAGGAAAGAAAGGTTTCTGATAAGAACTACCAGAACCAGAAGGGGGTCTTGTAGGCGGCGAGCGAGTTGTCTGGCTCGGCGATTCAGGAGCTGGGACTTGGCTAAGCCCGCTTCTGGGTCGGAGCCAAGCGAACAAGTAACCGAATGATGGCAGAAGAAAGTCAACGAAATGATTGGGCGATTGGTCTTGGCAAGGTACAGGTTTTTGGAGTTGCCATTTCGTGGGCTTTCAACCTTTTCAGGGCAAGAACAGTTCAAAACGGGGGTTTCTGTTTTTTGGAATGAAATCACATAGCACGAGGAAGAATCCGATTCTTGTGCAGAGTTGCATGCATTCTCGACCGAGGGTGAAAAGTTAAATTTAAAATATTTAGTTCAAAATTTATTGTCATCTATGACAATAACAATACTGTGATTTTATTTCTTTAATCACACAATTTTAAATCAGTTCAATGTTGATTTATTTTTTTGAGAGAATACTAATTAAATCCAATTAAAATATTTAAATTTAAATTAAGGTCTATACTTTTAATAAATTTCTAATTAGGCTATAAGGTTTCATTAGAAATCTCTAAATGATGTTAAGAGACTAAAATACCCATTTTAATTACAAAAAAATTAAATTGTTTTACCCTTCCAAATGATTCCTCTTTTCTTTTATGGTTATTTTTTGAAACTAAAAAACCCATATAAGTTTATAATGTTTAAAGGGTGTATATATAATTAAAACCTTCAAAAATATTTTAATCAAGAATCTTAAATTATAATATAAGTACTCTTTAAATAAATATTTTGTGTTTCCAAGTTTTAAATATTTATTTTTAAATTCTTAAAATATCTTAATTATAAGAAATATTTTTATTAAGTTCTTACAAATTATGTTTTTGGATTGGAATCCAAAGTTTGCTTAACTAAATAAAACTAATATTATAAGAACCTAATATTAAATGTTTTTTGTGACTAAAATATTTTAAGATCTTAAAATAAATATTTAAGAACATAAAATAAAAAATATTTATTTTATTTATTTTGAATTTATTTATGTTGAAATTTAAAATGTTTTATTAAAATCTTTTTGAAACTTCTAGTTATATATGCAAATTTTAAATATTATAAATTTTTTTTGTGTATTTGGTCTTAAAAGTAATCATAAGAGGTGAGAGGTCACTTGAGAGGAGCAAAATAATCAAATTTTTAGTTTAATTAGATAAAAGCATTGTGGTCATTTAACAACATTTAGAAATCTTAAATCAGGACTCATATCTTAATTAGAAATTTATTAAAAGTATAAGTCTTAATTTAAATTTAAGTATTTCAACTATATTTTGTTGACATTTTTCCTTTTTTTTGTGATATATTAATAATTTAACTTTATCATTTTAGTCTTGATTATAAATTTTAAAGTCTCGCTTGATCCTAAACACGAGATAAAGATGGGAAGTGAGTCCCCCCCCCCCAAAATATTACCTCTGATTAATTGCAACAAGTTGAAATGGATGGATTTAATTTTTAAACCGTTGAACATCACTTTACTGTAGTAATTAATTTTATTAAAGACGTAAGATTGGTCAGCTCAAAAAAAAAAAAAGAGAGATGAGATTGGAAATTACACCTGTCTCTACAAATCTAAAGACGTCAGCCACCACGCATCGATAACTCTGTGGTGAGTTGATTTTGCAAGTAGAATCGGAACAAACTACTGGTTATTAATATAAAATATTATTTGATTTTTATTTTGATTCTAAATATAAGATTCTAATTTATTTTTTCTCTTATATTCATATTTTTTTTCTAAATTAGTCCTTCTAACAATAATAGTTTTAGCTAATATACTTGGTTAGCAAGAATATTTTAGGTAAGTAACATTTATTTAAGACAAATAACTAATTCAACTTACTTCATTTATTTCTTCAAATTAATCAACTAGTCTTATAATTAGGACCAGGGGTAGTAGTATATTAGATGCTATCTTCGATCTTAAATATAAGAGCTAGCTGACTAATTAGAGTAGATTAAGAAAGTTAATAAATTAGTTAGTCATTTGTATTCATCCGATCCTAAATATAAGACCTATTTTGTAGTGTAGATTACATTACAAAAAAGATTTTATATTTATGAGAGGAGAATTAATAAATATGTATTATTTTTTTAAAAATATCCTTACTAATCAAGTTTGTTGGTTGGAATTACCGTTAGTAGATTGATTATCTTTAAAAAAATAGATAAATATGAAAAAATAAGATGAATTGAGATTTTATATTCAAGATTTATATAAAGTCAAGTAGAGTTTTATATTAAAGACCAGTATTATTTTCTACAATAAATTACTTTTTTTTTTGTTCTTTCCCTGCAAACAATAAACAGGAAAATCATCTAAATCCCTTAACCTTGTCCGATTTTTATCTTCTAGTGAGTTACTAAACATCCCACGTGGGGACATTGGAATCAAGTACTGAAGAAAATGGAATTAGTGTCATGTCATCACCTAACATAGACGATAAGCATCCACTAGAACGGGGAAAAGAGAGCGAATCGCAATTCATGGGAAATGACTAGACACCAATATAATTCTAGAAATGTTAAAAGCACCTGGTTAAAAAATCTGTCAGCTAAAATAATCTAAATTTAATTGGACATTCAATTTTATATATCATATTTTAGTTATAGGCAAATAATTTTCATTCTAAAAACTTTTGGGTTCATCAAAAATAAAACACATCAGGTGTATTGGTCCAATAAAATCTCTAAACAAATGCTTTTAACTAAATTTTTTTCCCAAGGGTTATTTTTTATTTTTTGGCAGCAAAGAGCTGGGGACGAATGGCAGATAAATAAATAAAAAGCAAATGGGGAAAGGCGGGGAGGGAGGAAGGAAAGGCCCAATAAGGAAAGAAGCGAATGCGGGAAAGTGGTTCGGTAGCAGAGTCAAGGGCGTAGCCCTCAGAACTCAGAAGCCTACTGGTCTGTCACTGGGGAAACTCACGTACGGAGCACAACCCACTTCAGCTCGTAGCCGTCCGATCACATCCCAGATGCTTCCCCGATGAAGCAGCACTTCCAGGCGTCGCTTCCCCCTCCTTCCCTCCTTCTCTCCCTCTTTTCCAAAATTTCCCCAAAATTACTATTCCGCCCTAATTTATAATTTCTTATATTATAATTATTACTCAAAAGCCATGGAATTGCCACTCAAGGTGGCTCAGGCCGTCCATGTCCTCAACCACGATGTCCAATCCTGCAACCGCGTCGCTGCCAATCAGTGGCTTGTTCAGTTCCAGCAGACCGACGCCGCCTGGGAGGTCGCCACCGCCATTCTCACCTCCGATCACCTCCGCAGCCACCACTCTTTCCCCTCCGATTTCGAGGTCGAGTTCTTCGCCGCTCAGATTCTCAAACGCAAGGTCATCCCCTCTCATTCCCCTCTTTTCTGCTTACTCTTTTTGTTCCCCGTGCTCTTCCAGCTCTGCTTCACTTCGTCGTAGGTAACCTTGAGTTTTCTTTGTAAGCATTGTGGATGCACGTGCAGCTCGTGATTATCTCAACTCAGACGCGTTTAGATATTGGGGCAGGCTTTGCCCCCTTCTTTAGTGTGTTTATTTAAGGGAAAGGAGGCTTGTTTGCTTCGGGATGGGAAGAAAAACGAGGATGCTGTTGTTGGAAATTTGATATTTCTGATGGTAACTTGAAACTTTTGAGTGCCGCCAAACGAGTACACGTTCTCTTTATGCTTTGGCGGAATTCAGAAATCCTTGTGAATTGTGAGATGTCTTGATTGACAATAGTATGTGGAAGCTGTCGTGGGGTTCGATCATTATTTTAAACAGTGGGTTAGAAAGACATGATGGAAGTTAGCATGGTAGTTCTACCCCCCATTTATGGGCAATTCATGTTCTTGAAGTCAACGCGGGATTATCTGTTTTGTGTAGCAGATCAATGCTCATGTCACATTCCAGTTGGTTTTCTCTGTTCGGCCAAATCAGAGATATACGTTAAGCTTATACTATTTGCATGCATTTCGATCCTGTCAAGTTTTATATGGGAATTTTTTGTTTTATTTTTAATCTGATTTAGTTGGACAACAATATAGATGGAATGGGCTGCATTTACCCTATCATTTACGACCAGACGGTTTAGTGGTTACTAGCTACCAATATTCGATGTATGAATGTGACAATCCTAACTTTTTCTTACTCTCGTTTGACGAGGAATCCGAACCAATGGCAACCAAAAAAAAAAAAAAATCCCATTAGTATCTCATACAGATGCCTTAACAGAATATCCTGTTGCTTATTACATGTCTGATTATACAGATACAAAATGAAGGTTATCTACTTCAGTTAGGGGCTAAAGATGCTCTGCTAAACGCACTTCTTCTTGCAGCCAAAAGATTTAGTACCGGTCCTCCCCAGGTGCACTGTTTATCCAAAATTTATTTTCATTTTCTTTTAGAAAATAATGATGCTAAGCATATTTACCTAGCACTACAGCACACTCTCGTAGGTCATAAAGAAAGCATAAATTTTATTTCTGTTTGGGTTTTTGATTGACTCATTGGTATTTTCATGACAGCTTTTAACACAAATTTGTCTTGCACTCTCTGCTCTTGTACTTCGAGTTGTTGAGCATGGAAATCCAATTGAGAAGCTTTTTTACAGTCTCCAGAATCTGCAGAGCCAGGATGATGGCAATATTGCTGTCCTGGAGATGCTTACTGTCCTACCTGAGGAAGTAGTTGACAACCAACGCACTGATTCTAAAACAAGTTCATCACAAAAAAGCCATTATTGCCAAGAGGTTTAGAAAATTTTGGTCTGATACATTCTTATATGCCCTGTGTTTCTTTCCATTGCCTCTCTTGCTCTCTCTGACTTCCATGCACTCTTTTTCATTTTCATTATGTAGCTTCTCTCGCATACGCCAATGGTTCTTGAGTTCTTGCTGCGGCAATCTGAAAAGAATTTTGATGGTTCTATACAACAGCAAGAAAAGAACAGAAAAATATTGCGCTGCTTGTTGAGCTGGGTACAAAATTCTGCTTACGACTTGTTCTAGTTGAAGAAATGCTGCATACATTAGGGTCACACAAGTTTTTAGAGGGTTTGCTTGAGTGACATTTATTTGTGCTGCTTCATCGCCCCTTCCCCTGTGCCCCTATGTTGAGTTACATCAAAAGTTTTCTATTGTCTTTTGATATTATACTAATTTGACTAAGCTTTCTTGGATTCAGGTTAAAGCAGGTTGCTTCTCTGAGATTCCTCAGGGCACATTGCCAGGTCACCCACTTCTAAATTTTATATTCAACTCATTACAGGTACTTCATTTCCAATGTTTGTATTTAAATTAAGTATTCTTACTTTGTTAAGATTACTAATGCTTAACTTGTATCTGTATTTCCGGGGAAGGTTCCTTTATCATTTGATCTGGCCATTGAAGTTCTTATTGAACTAGTGAGCCGACATGAGGTATGGTTGTCTGCTTTTATAGATGGACATTCAAACTCTATTTACTGTGATGGCATGTGTCAGTATATGTTTCATAATGCTTAATGATTTTTCCTTTTGGTGTATTTATTGTGCTTAAAATTTATTGTGGAAATTAGAGTTGTTTTCCCGTTATTTTTGGGACCAAACATGAAGAGTGAAGCACCTTATGTGGGTGTTACCTGAACCGAATACATTGTAGTAATACTTTTTCAAATACATGCATACTTCTCTGGCAAGAGACTTAAAGTTCCACCCTCAGAGGGTGGAGAGTTTTTTGGTCCTTAGATATGGTCAAATGTGCTTACTAGAACCTTTGAAGTATGTAGTTTTGCTTGCTTGCCCTTTGGATGAATTTGGGTCGATGCATAGTTGGTTATGTATTGTGGTTATGTCTACAAGTGTCACATCACTTATGACAGTCACGATACAAGGCCAAGTCAACTCTTAGAAATAAGATATGAGCTAGGTGGGGTACGTTAAATGAAATGTCAAATTCTTATTTGCATCCACATAGCTATGAAGACTATGCCAGTTGAGAAAAAGACTAATATTTTGTCTGGCTCAATTAGGATATTCTAGGTGTAAATCTTACCAGTTTGCACTACATTCATCTCAAATTTTTAATGTGCAAAGTCGTTTGAATATGAAAGATCCATCTCTTTTGATCTGTGCTTTTTGTTTAGGGGGTGCCCCAGGTTTTATTATGCAGAGTACATTATCTCAAGGAAGTACTTCTTTTACCAGCTCTTTCCAGGGGAGACGAGAAAATAATTGGTGGCCTTGCATGCTTGCTGTCAGAAATTGGGCAGGCTGTAAGTGTTAAATGAGAATTGATGCTCCAAAAGATTGTTATAAGTAAAAACAGAACTATTTTTTTGAATTGTCAAATCCTCTTCATGTTAATCATTTATTGTGTTGCCCGTTTGAAATTTCATTGCTTGTCTAAAGTAACATTGGAGAAATATCCTCTCTTCTTGAGAAAATAAGTATCTTATGTTTCGTGGAAATATGCCAATGATGCAACCATATGCTCATTGTTTTTATCATTTGTCTTGTTTTTTCATCCATCGTATGTAACTAGTCCCCTTCTTTGAATGTATGCTAGGCTCCATGCCTTATTGTTGAAGCTAGTCCAGAAGCCCTTGCACTGGCAGATGCACTCTTGAGGTAATGACTCAAATTAATTCTTAGTTACTTATTGCTTTAATGTTTTTTGTGCATTTTCAAGCTCCAACTATAGCTGGTTTTATGGACTTGCTTTATAATGTTCTGGTTGAAATTTATATTGGATTTAATAATTGAACTGAAGAGCTGCAATTCAGGTACTTGCATAAGCATGTTCAGAAGGCCCTTTTCTTGGATTATCGCAATTATGTGTATTTATGGGGCATACTGCTTCCTGTCAAATTAGCTTGCTTAAGAGTTTAACATGCTGAATACGCATGCAGATGTGTGGCATTTCCAAGTGAAGATTGGGAGATTGCAGACTCAACATTGCAGTTTTGGTAATTTTGCCTTTGGGTTGACAATTTTTTATTTAGTTTGCATTACCTATGTCCTTTATTGTTCATATGCTCGTGTGATCTCTCCTCCCTTCCCTTTCCGTGCTCTTAAATTCTGTTGCTGTTTCAATTTAATGCACGCAGCTTTCTGTTTGATTATTGGTGGCAACACTAGTACATGCACTTTTACATCCCAAAATATTTGTGAGAACAATAATAGATTTTTTGTTTTTGGTTCTACGATACGAATGTTTATAGTTTACATCCTTGTGGGAGCAGTCAGTTTAGAGATTTTGTCTCAGCTCATGAGCGCCCAATATACTGTCTCAGGTCCACTCTTGCTAGCTATATTCTCGGCCTTGATGAAGATGGTGCAAAAAGTAGGAAACATGTGGAAGGCATTTTTTCATCTGTGTTCTCAGCATTACTTGATTCACTTTTATTACGTTCTCAGGTTTCTTCTTTATCTATTTGGTTTTTACTTGTTGCTGCTTTTCATTTGGTGGTATCACTTTTATGATTTCTGGCTTATGTAATTATAAGTGGAAATAATGCTAGGATGAAATCTGCTGCATAGACATCACCCTAATCATGAGACTGATGCTATGACATTTCTGGAATTCCATGTCCTGAGAATCATCCGCCCGCACCAAACACTTTAAAAGAAACCGTGGTAGCTATTATGGCATGATGAACAGAGATGTTGTTATAAATTGTCTAGGAGAGTGTTTGGCTTGGACTTTTGAGAGCCCAAAAGTGCTTTTGTGAAACAGGCTTTTGGCAAATGTTGTTTGGGTATTTTTCTTTGTGATCAGAAAGTTCATTTCACAACCAAGCTTTTAGATGCTAAAAGCCCATTTTTGAAACGCGATCTAGGGTACTTCTAGCTTTCAGCTTGGCTAAGGTGTACCTTTGATAGACAGATTTTTGACAAACTGAAAACGAAACACACAATAAGAGATCCTTAGCACTCGGTTCTTACCTGTTGCCTTGTTAGTGTCACGTCTTCCCTTGGTGTTTTTGAATAGCTGGGATTTTCATTTTCTTTTTGGAGCAACGATGTAGTTTTAGGAGCACATAGCTTAGTTAATTGATCTTCATGAATTTTGTTTTGTGTTGATTAGGTGTTGAGATATCTTATGTTTTAACAGATTTAATGTTCTAATTTTATCTTCTTGGGCACTTACAGGTAGATGATTCCACGTATAATGATGAGAGCAGAGTGATTGATTTACCTGATGGTCTGGTCCATTTCAGGATGAATCTAGTTGAACTTTTGGTGGATATCTGTCACCTACTAGGATCTGCCATTTTTATGCAGAAGGTGCTTTTCAAAAGTCTATTTCCTTCCACTCTTTTTTAACTCAGCTTTTTGTGTAGGTTTGATGTTTTACACATTCTAGCATGGGATACTTCATTTCTTAAATAACTTATAATATCCAATTGTAAACTGGTGTGAGCAGAAGAAAATTCTTCTGTCTGATAATGTGGGATCATTAGTAAATGGACAAGTTAGTTATATATAAAATTATTATTTGAAATTTGAATGAAGTTTTTGTTTTGATATGACGGAACTATGATAAGATTAATTGAAATCTTTCCACTTGAACTGCTCTTTCCCTCCTTATTCAAATCTTGATCTTGAGCATGGCGATCTGTGCTACTGTAGTATGGCTGACCAATTCAAAAACCTGTACAATTCGTCTGTTATGAATTAGTTAAAGGAAGTTCTGATAATGTTCCTACTTCATTTCCCTCACTTTGAATATCACTGTCTCTGCAGCTATTTATTGGCGGCTGGGGATCTCCTAATCTGCCAATCCTGTGGAAGGAAGTTGAAAGCAAGCTGTTTGTTCTTAATGCGGTTTGTATCACTATGTTTTAGTTTATGTACCTTTATGCTTTGAGTGGGATGTTTTAGTTGTATGCCATTATAAACTTGCTTTTTTAGAAGAAATATACTGAGAGTCTAGAATTTGTTTATTTATGCTTTAAAAACTGACGCTGAAGATTTAACATGAATTGGGGTATTGAGTACTTCTGGTGAATCACTAGTAAAATGAGATTGGAGAATATTGGGGGCACAAAATAGAATAGACAATTTTTTATAGGAATATGCTGGAAGATTTTGTTTCTTTTTTCGTGCTTGCTTCTAGGTTGGGTTTTATCTTCTGCGTCATTGCATTCAACAGAGAAAAATCTTTGTATCTTTGTGTTTGGCTTAAAAGTACAATTGTGTTCATGACAAAATTGTCTTACCATGGAAAACCCCAATTTGTCATTTTGTCTTGAACAAATCAGTATAATGCCTGCTTCTTTCTATTCTGCATGCATTGGTTGCAAATTTGCAGTTTTCATGTTTAACACACGATAATCTAGTTATATATGAGTGTGTATATGTATATGTATATGTTTTCTTCTAGGTTGCTGAGGTAATCATACAGGATGGCCAAACCTTTGATTCCTCTGTAGTAATGCAGTTGGTGACAATGTTGTCAACTAAGCCTTCTGATGGGCTGAATGGCTTCATCTGCATTGTAAGCTTTATATGATTTTTCCCTCATTTCTTCCATTGGTACTCATTTCTAAGCGGCATGCTGTTTTTTTTTCCTTCTTTTTATTCCCCAAATAATTTCATTTTCTCCTTTTAAATAGGTATACAGATCTCTGGCAGACGCTGTTGGTTCCTATTCTAAGTGGATATCTGCTTTTAAGTCAAATTTTAGGCCCTTGTTGTGAGTACTTTTACTTTTTGGTGGGGATAGAAAGGTTCTAATGGACTATTTGGTGCAATTGTTGCAAATTACCATATGCTTCCCTTTTCAGATATATCCAATCAGGTTTTATGAAATTTTGTAGCTGAACCATAGTGATTTTGTTGAATTTATTTGGTTCTTGCTGATTGACAATATTTTATGCTTTTTCTTCCTTGGTTCTCACATTTCCTATTTTTACTTTCAGATTATTTCTTGCTATAGGGATTTCAGAGCCTCTGTCTTCAAATGCTTGTGCTTCTGCTTTGCGTAAAGTCTGTGAGGATGCATCTGCAGTAATTTATGAACCTTCAAATTTGGAAATTGTAATGTGGATAGGAGAGGTGAGCTACTCTTTAACCATAGTGGAGTAAACATGAGTGAGAATATTTTTCATCGATCTGTATTTTGTGCATGTGTTGGGCACCCAACCGGGGTTGAGAATCCTTATCCAAAAGGTAACTATTGAGGTGGGAGATTCAATCCATTTAGGTACCTGGTAGAATATTCCATACTATTCAATGTGAGACTGGTTCCTATCAATCAATCCCCTTTAGAGAACCAACATCCTAGCAACTAAACTCTAATGTTCCACTTAGCTTCTTCATAGGTGAGAACCTTCCATGGCTAGGCCTTTCTAAAATTGTTGACTATGAACTCTGATAATGATGGACATTAAATTTTTTTTTTCTGGGGGGGGGGGGTGGGGAGACTCTTCTGTTTTCTTTTCTTTTTTTTAAGAAGTGGGGTAAAAACTCACTCGCAAGCTCATTATTGGGAGGAGAGAGCTGACATAAGTACCATATTGGTTAGAGCTAGTGGCATGAGAGCTCTCTTATGAGTGGGAGGCTACGGTTTTGATTATGCTTTTAACCTTAGGCGCTTTTTATTCAAAAAGAAAATCAAGGCGATTTAGTGTTCTTCTTGGTCCTGTTTCTTCTTGTAGGGGTTAGAGAAATGGCATTTACCTTTGGAAGATGAGGAAGAAGTTGTGAATGCAATTAGTCTAGTCCTTGGTTCTGTACCCAATAGAGAACTAAAGGGCAACTTACTGGCTAGATTGCTGACTTCCAGCTATGAAGCAGTTGGAAATCTGGTGAGGTTCTTTTCTTGTTTAATTTTGATAATCTGAAAAACTGATTGCTGGTGATTTCATCTTTTTTCTTAACGGCCATCTTTGATGCTTTTACTTCATCACCATAAGGATAGAATTCTTAAGGAACTGAAGATGAATAAGTAAATAACTGACCCTGAAAGAAGAAAAATGAACGAACGAGCGAATGAATAGGGGCTCGTAAGTTACATCTGATAATTCCTGCTTAAAGATGAGGAGCATCTGTGGGTTAACCTTGAATCTTAATTATAGACCCTTTGTAGTTTAGCTAGTATTCAAAAGGTCTGTTGAATGGCTATTTGATGTTTTTATCCCCTTGTAAAAAATATGTTTCTGATCTCTGATAGCCTCTTGAGTTGGCATTATTTTTTTTTTTTTTGGTCATTTATTTTATACATACCTGTTATTTGAATGATATTTTGTGCTAACTATAACTCTGTTGGGGAATGTCATTTTATAAGCTTTCGTTGTTTTCTGCCCCATAGGAAGTGGTAACCTTTTGTTACATCATGCATTTCTCCCATACTTCTTCTGTTATTAGCCCTTGAATCGCTTGTTTGATACTTCTATGTGGATTTTGTCCTTCACTAAGGAGATCTCGTGTACTATAATAATTGTAACTGTAATAATCCACAAGACAATTTATGTTCAATTAAGAGTCTGTAATATTTTTCAGGTCGATCCAGACTGCAGCCATTCACTTAAGCAGAATCCAGCCTCTTATACACAAGCGTTGAATGCTGCTGCTAGAGGGTTGCACAGGTGCACCGGTGATATCTTTTTGGGATGTGTGAATCTAAGGGCAGTGGAGTGTATAATTGTTCGCAGGCGGCTTGTCAAATTGTTTTAATGATTATATATATATATATATATATATTTGGTGCCAATCACAGTTTAGGTTTTGCATGTTAGCATTAGGTTTGGAATTTGTTTATTCAAACCATCTAGTCCATTTTTTCAGGCAAAAAAAAAATCTGGTCCATTTTGACCCAAAAAAACCATTTGGTCTGTGAAATAGTTAGTTCCACATACATCTCTCTATTTCTGTTTTCATTTTTGTCTTCTTTTGAGTTTTCGGACTAAACTTTTATAATTCTCTCTCTTCTCTTTTGGAAACGTCTTTAAATGTTGGTCCTCTCTCTTTGATTGCGCTTTGTCAATTTACAATCAGTTGATGGGAGGCGGAAGCACTAATGTCTTCATCTTCGCTTTCATATTAAGCCATGGAATGACTTTATTTAGATTGACACCTTTTGTTTAGATACTGCATTAGTCTCTGATGGAACTAAGTTATTCACTCCATTTTCAATAATACGTAATGATTCATTATTTCTTGCTTTTGGATTCACATTCTTTGTTTTAATCCTCAATTATTTATTGCTTCTTTACTTTTATTGAAGCTTCCCTGTGTGTGTACCTATAATTTGTCACGGTCTCTGGTTTTGTCTAGCCTCTCATCATGATCCTTCAAATTCAGAATGGGAACTGTATTCAGTCATCTTGCTATGTCTGGGGTGGCCGAACCTGCTATGGATGACTCCATTCTTTCGTTGCTAAGTGTCTTTTGGCCCATTCTGGAGAAACTTTTTTGTTCTGATCATATGGAGAATGGCAATTTATCCATGGCAGCTTGCCGAGCTCTTTCACTAGCAGTTCAATCTTCAGGTATGCTTGCCCTCGGGTTGGACATGTTTACCAGTTGATTTGTCCCACTAAAGGAAAAAAAGAAAGAAAACTTATTTTCTTTCTTGAAATGTCCAGGTCAGCATTTTGCGGGGCTACTATCTAAAGTTCTGGACTGGCTTTCAACAAATTTTGTCTTGTTTCAAAGTCACGATTGCTATATTAGAACTGGTACGCTTTCTTGTGGCATCTCCTGTTCATTTCAGAAATGTGATCTAGAGTTACCTTGTGAGGGACTCGTAAGTCTCACGAACCTCCAAGCCCTCTCCAATCACAACCTGTTTTCATTCCTTTCTCAAAGGCCTCTAGACTCCCTAGCCCAAAAGCTTTGGTCCATCACCTTGCAATATGGATTTGAAAATGCCAACCCCACCTAGTGGTTGTTGTTGTTGTTGTGTGCGTGCATGCATAGTGGGATTTGGTGGACTGTCCCAGTACGTATGGAATAAAATTCAGATGATTATAAAAGGGCTGAATTAAATTACATTAAGGAAAGAAGGAACCTTTTCTTTTGACACCATTTTTATGTCTAAACTTGGAAATGCTTGCAATCGTATCCTCAAATTCAGAAGCAAATTATTTCAATGGAGTGCATAATTATTAACATATGAGAATGCAAAAAATTGAATTTTTGTTGTTTTCATGATAAAATAGGGTTGTACTCTTGCTCACTTTTTGCCCTGGAACCATTGCTATTTGTCTAATTATATAACATTTTTCAGCTTCTATTGTCATTGAAGAATTCGGTCACAAAGAGGAATATGGGCCTTTATTTGTCACAATTTTTGAAAGATTTACTAATGCAGCATCTGTAATGGCTCTAACTTCCTCGTACATATGTGACCAAGAGCCTGATCTTGTGGAGGCCTACACCAATTTTGCATCCACCTTTATTCGCTCCTGTAACAAGGTTTTCTTTCACTGTCTTCCCTTTTCTTTTCCTTTTTTGGGGTGGGAGCTGTAGTGGAACATTCTTGAATGGAATCTGGATATATTCACCAGTTGGACAATGTATCTTAGGATGTGCTGGCAACTTCTGGTTCCCTTCTTGAAGTTTCTGTCCAGAAAGCAGCTATATGTTGCACAGCGATGCATCGTGGAGCAGCTCTTGCTGCAATGTCGTATTTGTCTTGTAAGAGAAAATCATGCTGTTTTTAAATTTGTTGTTGAAATTGTGGGTTCTATTACTTGTGCTCAAGTAGGACTAATTCTAGGGAAGATGATTGACGTTAAGAATATGTACAAGCTAGGATTCCTCATCTTAAAGGGGTATTGGAGATTATTTTGTATTCATTTTAATTAAATTGTCTATTTATTTTATTGATTTTTTTTGTTTTTGTTTTTGGGGATAATACTTCTATAGGATCAACTCAAGTATTCTATTCTTTTCACGAGAAGATATGATAGAATTATCATTAGGTCATGTCTCTTGCTGACTCTTTTTTTGCTGCCTATTACCCAACTTCCACTTGATAAAACAAGTTTAGAGGATTATTAACCCCGGATTTCTCCAGGTTTTATGAATATCTCCAACAATATATTTTTTTTCAATGAAGCCTTATTTATTTTTAGACTATTTTACCCTTCGTTGATAAACATAATGGTATGAGGAACAAGAGTTTGCCTGTAAAACAGGACAAAATAAAATAAGGTTACTTAAGTAAAATATTGGTAGGTTTTGCTACAATCTAGGATATGAAATAACTTTCTTAATCTTAGCATTAAATGACATATAATTGGGAGTATTCGTTTTTATTGGTTACAGGCTGATTAATTCCTTTCTTGACTTTTCAGGTTTCTTAGATGTGGGCTTGGTCTCTTTGCTGGAATGTGCAAATTGTATCCTTGAAGGGTCATTCAATGCCATGGCCATTCATGTCATTTCTCACAGTGGCGAGGGGCTTGTTTCCAATGTTGTGTATGCTTTACTTGGTGTTTCTGCAATGTCACGGGTTAGTCTTATTGGAACTTATAGTAACTTTATTGTTTTAGTTTTCTTTATGGCTGATAAACGTGATTTGATATGTAAAAGTAGTTGAAGAAAGTGGTGAGCACTAATGATATTGTCTGTGTGTGAATTTTTGTTGTTTTATGAAGTAGTTCTTGTTGGTATGCATTTTGTGTAGAAAACAAATCCTTGTTCTTCCAGAGGAGTTGTTAGCCTTGATTTCCCTGTAACGCATGGTCTCTTAGATTTAAGTTTTGGTCTTTATGGAAAGAAAGTTAAACCTGTCTTTTGTTGCTTCTATGTCTCCAGCAAGCATTAATAAGACTGAAGCAAAAGAATTTCATATACAGGCTTTTGGATTCAGTATATTCACTGTACATTTTTTTTTAAAAAAAAAATGCATTTACATCCTTGCTTAAATCCTCAAAACTAGAAAACAAATACTGCCTTTGTCAAACTGTAATGGTTTTCTAGTATCTTGGTAATCCCTAAAGAAGGGTCAAGTTTTTTAATCTTTCCTTTTTTCTCTTTTCTCCCTTATTCCTCGTGTTCTGATCCATAAAATCTTTCTTTATAGGCTTTACTCTTAGCTTGTCAATTTTCATTGAGAAGCCAACTAAGAATAATCCTGTGCATGCTAGGTTCACAAATGTGCAACAATTTTGCAACAATTGGCAGCGATTTGCAATCTATGTGAAGGTACCACCTGGAAGACTAGACTATGCAGGAAACTTTGCATGGATGGCTACATTCAGCGGTCTCTCTCTCATTTTTGGCTTATATAATTTATTATTTACGTTGTCTTTTGATTTTCAATTTTTTTTTGGCGTGGCCTCAGTAATAACCAGCATATAGGTTCGCAAATTCCCCCCGCCCTACTATTTTCCCATTTTCAAGAAACTTGAGTCTGGTCACACAAGTGTTTCTTTGTTCTCCTTCATCATGCCTTCAATTTTGTTTAGGAAGAGTTGGTCAGGCAGCTTCTTCCTTTCTGGTCAAATTAGATTCCGGGTGGCTTCTTTTTAACTTGAACTAGTTCTCAAGTGTTGTAGTGGCAACTTAGATGGTCTCTAGTCTAGAAAAGTGAGAGTCATGGGGGCATTGGTTGCGTCAGCTTAAACATGCCGGAGACACGAGCCACGTGGGGAGCAGTTCATCCTATTTGTTCACTAACAAGATGAAATGCATTCATTTTGCTGCTGTTATGTGTCCATTTTTAATTCACTTTGAGCTGAAACAGCTAGGTAATGTTAACTTCGTTGATGAAATGAGCGCCAAAGAGGATACAGTTGAAGGTCAACTTTCTTAGTAGTGGGAGAATGACTGAAGAATTAGGTTTAGAGTGAGTAATTAGTAAGTGGTTCATCAATTTAAAATTTAGTTTGCTTTTTACTATAAGATTTGTGATTAACTTATTCTTCAATTTTTTCAAATTAAATTAATGTATAGTTATTATTTCATAAAGATTTTCCTTGAAAGTTGTTAATTCCCTGAATCCAGCACGTTCCCTACTTGATCCAGCTTGACCCGTATCCCAAAAGTTGTCCGTTTTCAAGCTAGGCTCCATCCAACTTGAAAAATCTAATTCATGATTTTTTATATTTATTTCTAATAATTCGTGCATTTTTTCCTGGAGTTTTAAGCTTGTGTTGAATATGCCATTTTGTTTTGTGAACAACAATATTACCTACGTACTCCTCTAAATCGTCTATGAGCTGATTATGATTTTGTCAAGGCCTAGCTTTCTTGGATTAGGTAGTGTCAGACTCAAGCTTGGTCCATCAATTGTTTGCGGTTTTAGTGCGGATTGAAACCTTTCAACAAGGGCGTTTTCAGATTCCTGTATGTAGTTGTTGACGTATATGCATCTAAGGATATGTTACTTGTTGAACTGTAACTGAGTTCTGTGGGGGATGGTCGTTTGATATATCTCTCAACTGTCTCGTAAAAGTTGAGGAATGTAGAGTATTTGTTGGTGGCTATCTCAGGCCTCAGCAATCGGATTTGATATCTATTTGGACTTTTCGTCTTGTGGATTTCTCGCTTCCACTTCTTTTTCTTCCTTTTTCTCCATCTGGCTCAGTTTGATTGACAATTTGAGTCATCAGGTTCAGGCTTTTCCTGCTGAGTACCTAAACCAAGGAGAAGCAGAAACTCTAGTGCCACTTTGGTCCAAGGCCCTTGCTGATGCAGCCTCCGACTATATAGAGAGCAAGAGGTCTGATGGAGTAATGAGGAATTTCGGGCATATGCAGGGGAAGGGTGGCAGAGTTCTAAAGCGACTTGTTCGGGAATTTGCTGATGCTCACCGAAACATGCAAATTTAACTTGATTGCTGCATAAATATTTCTAATTTACTGACCCAATCCATCATGCAACCTCAAGAGTTGATTAAGCACTTTGCCTTTTGCTTAGGAACCTGCGAAATTTGGTCTACTGATGAGAATTGACACGGTCGATTGCTTCTGATGCCTGCCACTGGAAACACCTCTCCGTATACGAACATTATTTTCCGTATTTTTTCCTCTGTACAGTATCATGCCCCCAATTTTGGTAGCCCTTAGATGAATTTAGGAAATTTTACCCCCCGGCTCAAATTGAAGTGGATACGGAAATGGAATAGAGATTGAAGGGAAAGAATTTTCCATTGTATCAGGACGATCTGAATTTTCATCACGATGACAGCGCTGTAGATATGTTCCAGTCCTAGAATGCGCAAACAATATGTATGTTCAACCTGTATATTTTTGAGGGAGGTTTCGTCAATTAAATGTGATTTTTTTTTCCTATTCTTGATTATTCTGTTCATCATATATTATTGTTGAAGATATGCTAAGAAACTATTGAAGGTGGACCGCCATTACCAATTTTGGAAATTGTGATGCTTATTGTGTAGGTAGGATCATTCATTTGCAGATTTGCTCTTTTGTTGACTAATCAGCCATTATTTGATTCAGTGTGGATTATTGTTTTGCTAAGCAAATGTGAATTTAAATGGAGTAATTGGCAGGGGAAAAGTAAATGGTTGGGTGAAGCACGTGCCATGCAATGCTGCTGTTGTTCACGAGATATTGCTGAATTCCACCCTTCTAATCAATCTGTTGGCAACATTAGCAAAATTAATAATTGGTCATGAATTATAACTTTATTGGAGGGTAGTGAAGGCACCAAATTGAAAGTAGAGATATACTAATATTCAAATCATGGTTTTTCCAGAGGATATATCATATATGTAACTAATTAAAATGGATGTATGAATATTTTTAACGGCCAAAAGCATATTAAACTTCTCTTAGAATATTTGGACTTGGATTCTCTCCACTACCTTCCCATCCTCTCCCTCCACTACCCTTCTTTTCTCTTCACACCATTGGATCAAAATTCTAATGGTTCAGATTTACATCTTATAAAAATAATATTATTAAAAAAATAAATAAATAAATTTAAACTGTTAAAATACTAATATTCAAATCATGGTTTTTCCAGAGGATATATCATACATGAAACTATTAAAAATGGATGTATGAATATTTTAGGACGTGCCAAAACATATTAAACTTCTCTTAGAATATTTTGTCTCTTGGAAAATACATATTCATTTATTCTTATGTTTCATACGGTGAGTTAAAATATTTTTAAATTTTAAATTTACCATTATTTTGATCAAATTTATTTTATTTTTAACGTCACTGAAATTAATCAAAAGATGGCTTTTGGTAAGGGTGAAGAAATGGGTTACAGACAGAATTCAAGATACAGCAAAATTCCATGATCAGTCAAATTAGTGAAACCAAATAATTATTTTAAATATATTTTAGTTAGGAAAAATATAAAAAAATACCATCGAAATAAGAAAATTGTAAATTAGGACCATGATAACATCATGAGCTTTGATAATTATAGTATGAGTTTTGACAACAATTTTTAATTTTTTATAAATGAGTCCTTGTATGTAATTGTTTTATTTCAGTAGTTTTTATTGTGATATTTTTTACATTTTATTTTTATTTTTAAATAATCTGTTAGAATAATTTGATTCATTTTTGCGACATAAATAGATTCCTTCCATCGAGCATCAATCGACTCGGACAAAACAAAACGGAAGTGTGGGTCCGGAAGGATTACACAGCTTGAAGCAGCTGGAGTAGCGGTAAGTAAAAACCCTAAAGTGCAAAGGAAAGGGGATCAGAGATTCTCCTCCCAGGAGTCGTAATCAAAAGGTGCATTCTGAGTCGCTCTTCAAACTTTTTTCTTATTATTCGCTTGAATTGTGATGGTTGATGGGCTTAATTTTCTTCATTTATATTTCGATTTGTTCAGCTAATTTTAGCATGCAGGATTCTTTGAAACTTTCACGGTTCAGAATATGGGCTGGTCGCTTGCTGTTCCTATTTCTTTTGCTTTTGTTTGGGAAAGAAAGTGTACAAACTTATTTGTACTGAGTCCTGGTAGCAGGGTTGTAGGAATGCAAATCAGTGGATTTTATTTGCCTACTGGCGGGTCAATCTGAACTGATGTAATTGGCTGGTCAAATTGTAATTTGACTTGAGTCTTTTAAGTTCGATTAGAAAGCCGATAAGGTCTCCTGAAAGTAAATCATATTTCTCAAGATGTAGGGTACAAGATTGGGAAGGATGGTTGTGACAATTCTTGGGTGCTTATAAAATAAAAAAAGGAAAAAAAAGAAAATAAAAAACCTTAGACTGATTGGCCGGGCTTGCTGATGCGTTATCTTTGGGGAGGGGGAAGGATTTCATAGGCTGAACACAAGTTAAATTCATATCCTTGCTACCTGCGTGTTTTTTCCCATCTTCACTCCAAAAAGAGTCAAACAAGTGTGATCCTGCCTCTGTTGTTCGGCTTCTTTAAAATACTTTGTCAGTTCCAAAATAGGGATGTGAGGAAAATTTCATACGGCTCAGCTCAAATTAATTCCATATCTTTCCTATCCAACAGCGTTTTTCTTTGCGTCTTCACTCAAAAAGAATCGTTAATTGTAATCCTGCCTAAGAGGTTGCGTTGTAATACTTTCAGTTAAAAAAATACGGCTCAAATTATTTTGGATAATTCTCAGTCAACTGTAACATTTTATACTACTATAGTAACATTTCGCATAGTCCTGTGCAATCATTGGGATATTCGTGCATGCTAGCATACGACATGCAAATACTATGGAGCAGAGCTAGCTATGGCATTTTTTGGGGTTTGGTTAAATCACACTTGATAGCCCTCTTATTTAGAAAAGTACGTCTAAATCTTTTGACATTTTGGTATGTGTTTTTTTTTTTTTTTTGGGGGGGCGGGGATGTTTCAGAAGTACATTTTGGTATATGTTGCTGAAACCTATTTTTGGAAGAAACACGTATTGTGCAGAAAGCTAACTTCATTGTGAGAAAGTAAATTATAGGGGAGATAAATGTAATTTTCAAAACCTGAGAAGTATCGAGTGTATTTTAGCCACATTTTTGGGGTGGTTAATGTAATCTACTTAATGAAGCATGATTTGGGGCTGCAACACAACCTTCAGGATGACTGTTGTTTAGGGTTTCTTCTTGGGTCCATAATCATTGGGAAAAGATAAATACATGCAAAGGTGCGGATTTACAGATTTCAATTCTCCCATCCTTTGACTTAAAACAGATTTATAGCAAATAACTTCGTCTTCGTTGTGTTGGTGTTTGCTTGATTATATGAAGTGCATAATGGTTGGATTTATATATTGTTTCTATGTGGTGGTTTACAGTCTTTGTTTTCCTTTAGATTTGCTAATGTACATATCTGCGGTTATTTGTAGGCTAGTCTTCTGTTGTAACCAACAATGGCAGATGGTCATGAATCAGACAAGAATATTGAGATTTGGAAAATAAGAAATTAATCAAGGCATTGGAATCTGCGAGAGGTAATGGTACCAGCATGATTTCTCTTATTATGCCTCCACGTGATCAGATTTCCCGGGTCACGAAAATGTTAGGAGATGAATTTGGAACTGCTTCAAACATCAAGAGTAGGGTGAACAGGCAGTCAGTTTTGGGGGCCATTACTTCTGCTCAACAGAGGCTGAAGCTCTACAATAAGGTTCCTCCAAATGGTTTGGTTCTTTATACTGGAACCATTGTTACTGAAGATGGCAAGGAAAAGAAGGTGACAATTGATTTTGAGCCTTTCAGGCCCATCAATGCTTCACTTTACCTGTGTGATAACAAGTTTCACACCGAAGCTCTTAATGAACTTTTAGAGTCTGATGACAAGTTTGGTTTTATTGTTATGGATGGAAATGGAACCCTTTTTGGTACGTTAAGTGGAAATACTCGTGAGGTGCTTCATAAATTTACTGTTGATCTACCAAAGAAACATGGTAGAGGAGGGCAGTCAGCTTTACGTTTTGCTCGTCTTCGCATGGAAAAACGGCACAACTACGTTAGAAAGACTGCAGAACTTGCTACTCAGTTTTTCATCAATCCTTCTACCAGTCAGCCTAATGTTGCTGGACTTATACTTGCAGGTTCAGCTGACTTCAAGACTGAGCTGAGCCAGTCAGATATGTTTGATCCCCGTTTACAGGCCAAAATATTAAATGTAGTTGATGTTTCTTATGGCGGGGAGAATGGTTTCAATCAAGCCATTGAACTATCTGCAGAAATCTTGTCAAATGTGAAGTTTATACAAGAGAAGCGCTTGATAGGGAAATATTTTGAGGAGATCAGCCAGGATACTGGGAAATATGTCTTCGGAGTTGATGATACATTGAAGGCTCTGGAGATGGGTGCTGTGGAAACACTCATCGTGTGGGAAAGTTTGGATATAAATAGGTATGTGTTGAAAAATAGTTCAACTGGTGAGATTGTGATTAAGCATTTGAACAAGGAGCAAGAGGCTAATCAAAACAACTTCCGAGATTCAGCCACCTCTGCAGAGTTGGAGGTTCAGGAAAAGATGCCTTTGCTGGAGTGGTTTGCAAATGAGTACAAGCGGTTTGGTTGCTCGCTGGAATTTGTAACCAACAAATCTCAAGAGGGATCACAATTTTGCAGAGGGTTTGGTGGCATTGGTGGCATCCTTCGCTACCAGCTTGACATCAGATCATTCGACGAGTTTTCTGATGATGGAGAGGTGTACGAGGATTCCGATTAAGTTCATCCTGCAGTTCCTCAGTAATTTTGGATAATTGAAGGAAGCATGATCGCTTTTATGTTTCATAGTTTCTAATCATTTGGATTTTTTGGGTATAAGACATTCTCTTTTGGTGCTTCATCCATCACATATGTATTATTTAATTCTTCTGCCCTTTGCTTCCTACATATACTTCTTGTTGGTCAATTTAAGAATATGGCAACTCAGCCAGCCTACTAAAAGCATAGAATGTTTGCTCCAGTCTCCTAGATTGAGTTGGATTTAAGCGTTGTCGGGTATGG